TGTAACACATGGCAGCGTTTTCAAAGACATCTGGTTGGGTGACGGGCAAATGCAATTCTGAAGGTATCGATCTTGATGTACCCTGCCGAGGGCTGTGCTGTGCTGCACCGTGCTGAATTGCGATGTGCCATGGCGCGATTTTGCTCTATAGCCTCGTGGATCGAGCCATCCTGTGCATCCGAGTCCTGACCGAACTGATCTGGATCTTAAGCTCGAGCTGCCTGAACACACAGTAGCTGCCCCAGAGCTAATTGACAGGGGAACATGCAAGGAGGACACGCCGCGAAACGTCCAAAGGGACGCGCCAGGCGACGTGCCAGGGGACGTGCCATGGGGTCGCACCGCGGGACGTGCCAAAAGGACGCGCTACGGAACGGGCCAATGGATGTGCCACGGGATGTGCCAGGGGACGCGCTACGCGACGTGCCAGGGGGGCTCGCCACGGGACGCGCCACGGAACGTGCCAAGGAACGTGCCAGGTTGCAATGCTGATTGTATCGATGTTGATATACCCTGCCGAGGGCTGTGCTGTGCTGCACCGTGCTGAATTGCGATGTGCCATGGCGCGATTTTGCTCTATAGCCTCGTGGATCGAGTTCTCCTTTGCATCCGAGTCCTGACCGAACTGATCTGGATCTTAAGCTCGAGCTGCCTGAACACATAGTAGCTTCCCCAGAGCTAATTGACAGGGGGACATGCCAGGAGGTCGCGCCGCGGAACGTCTCAAGGGACGCGCCAAGCGACGTGCCAAGGGACGTGCCATGGGGTCGCACCGCGGGACGTGCCAAGGGGACGCGCTACGGAACGTGCTGGGGAAAAGCGTTTCGCTCGAGACATCCAGTCAAAATCCAAGGAAATCCTGGCAAAACAAACGAAGTAGTCAAGACATCCTCGAAATTCCTGCGCGCAGGACGCGGCACGCGCGAGACATCCTCTGAATTCCTGCGAGCGGGACGTGAAAACAAGCATTTTGCCTCAGACATCCTCTGAACTCTGGCCCCCTACAAGGCCCCCGCTCGAGACATCCCCCAAGTTTGCAAAACCAGTGTTTCGCTCGAAACGTCTTCAACAAATTGTGAAAGACAAGCATTTCGCTCGAGACACCCTGCAAAAATTCAAAGACATCCAGCAAAACAAACGAATTAGTCGAGACATCCTCTAAATTCCTGCGCGCGGGACGCCGCACGCGCGAAACATCATCGGAATTCCTGCGCGCGCGGCGCTTTTCCGCGTCGCTGTCGGCTCTGCAAAACCAGCGTTTCGCTCGAGACATCCTCAACAAATTCTGAAAACAAGCGTTTCGCTCGAGACATCCCCAACTCTGCAAAACCAGCGTTTCGCTGGAGACATCCTCAACAAATTCTGAAAAACAAGCGTTTCGCTAGGGGCATCCTCAAAAATTACACTACACCCGCGCTCCCAGGGCCACGATCCCTCGTAAATTACGCTACGTCAGCGCTCCCAGGGCCACGATCCCTCGTAAGGGCTCCTGGGCCCTCCTGGGTCTTCCTTGGACCTCTTGGGCCCTCCTGGGCTCTCCTGGAGCCTCCTGGAGCTTCTCCTGGGCCCTCCTTGGGCCCCCTGGTGCCTCTTGGAGCCTCCTGGGTCCTCCTGGGCCCTCCTGGGCTCTCCTGGGCTCTCCTGGGCTCTCCTGGGCTCTCCTGGAGCCTCCTGGGCCCTCCTGGGCGAAGTCAAGGTCCGAAAACACATGGGACTTGCCACATTTCTGAAATTCGGTGCCACCCCTCACGCAGGTCGGCGGGGTCAGGATCCGAAAACACATGGGATTTGCCACATTTCTGGAATTCCGTGCCACCCCTCACGCAGGTCGGCGGGGTCAGGGTCCAAAAACATATGGGATTTGCAACATTTCTGGAATTCCGCGCCACCCCTCACGCAGATCGGCGGGGTCAGGGTCCAAAAACAAGAGGATTTGCCACATTTCTGAAATTCGGTGCCACCCCTCATGCAGATCCGCGGGGTCAGGGTCCAAAAACATATGGGATTTCTGCGATTTCCGAACTTATGCAACTTCAAGAATCCAAAACTCAGTTCCCAGCGCCGTCCCGGAGGCCGCGGTACCTCGTTACTTATCGAGCGAACGCGTTTACCGCGTTTTTTGTCGGAGAAAAGTGGGCTTCACCTGTGAAATATCGAGGTTTCCGTAAAGGCAGTAAAATTCCAAGAGCACGATCTGCGTGAGGGGTAGCGAAAAATGGCCTTCGTCCTCACAATTGA